AGACATAAAAATAGCACGTGAAGCCATTCACATAGTAATTATGGGATCATAGGAGAAATTCTGTATCAGTCATTTTCTTGTTTTGTTTTATACACCAGTTAATGCACACCAATAATTTTCGTTGTCACAAAATCTTGTTGTTGCTTACTGACTGTAGTAGAATGGAGAGGTGTCTGGAGTACATAATAATTGTAGGCAGAATACAGTGAGTATAAGCCCTTGTGGTTTTGGAATAGTTAATGCCTGCAGACTGTCAGTATGCAATGCTGCATTTTTCTGAAGGGGGAAAATGCTATAGCTGGGGTTTGCGTTTTCCATCCAAAGACTTGGGTAACACTAATGGATATAACCAACAAAGTGCTATCAAAATGAAGATTTAACATTACAAGTGGTGATTGCTTACATATCAAAACATTTAAAATTCTGTATGTGGGCTGTTAGTTACCAATAGTTTTGCTTGCTACCAAGAGGCAGAATGGCTCTTTAAAGCCATCCCGATGACCCAGATCTCTGGGATGCCTGATGGCATACTACTACTTAGCCCTGGCTCAAAGGCCTGAAATCTTAAAATTGGTGATGACAATGCTCTTATTGTTTCTCCTACTCAAACTCCTTTTGATCCAATGTGTCCCCTCTTCTCTCTCACCTACACTCAACTAGACTATTTAGTAGTGTTATATGTCAGGGGCTAAAGAAAGGAAACAGTAAATGATAGCTTCCAGAAACCTCACATTTCATTGAAAAGCCATAAAATAACTTCTATATTGGTTAGACACTATCTGGGTATGTAGGGCTGTGCCTTCCTATAACTTAAAATACTGGCAGTTTTCTTGACTGAAACCAAAGGCAGTGGGGCTGAGTGAGCCATGTGTTTTCACGTGGTAGCAGTCATAGGATTTGAGAACCTCCGTCCCTGGAAGGGGCAGAACTATCTGTCCTTTAAAGCGACTCCTTAGGACCAATTCAGCTCAGTGGCTCCACTCACCATAGCAATTGGTGTCTGCCAAATTGGGCTCCTCTCTTAGCCCTGGAGAAAGGGAGATTATTTGGGTGGGCTTCCTGATTCATAATACAGTTGCTTGAGCTTTGGTGCAGGATGGGGTCCAGGTGTCAGTCCTACTCTGCTGGATAATGTCACTCTTGTGTGCCTCTGTGAGTGTAAAATAAGCTTGTGGGATAGACTGCTGGCTTCAGTTTCTATAAGTAAAAAAATAAAATAAAAGATTGTATCCAGAGGAGAAGTAGATTTTCAGAAGAAGCAATAGGTTGGGAGACTTTATTCAAAATGAGAAGCTCTCTCTCTCCCCTGTATATGAGGGTAATGAATCTTTGTTCTTACTGTGCTTGAAAGTCACCATGACCTTGTGTTGATATTCCCAAAGCTAAGCTGTTGGCATTTAAAACCTATCACTGGCCTGAAGCTCTCTTCCAACTTATAAACTCCTCAAAAAATCTTCTAAAATGTCACATCCCAATAGCTCTATAAAAATGGTGATATGTCCTACTTTAGTTATTGTATCAACACAGAACTCAGTGCATCAGCGTGGGTCTGGGTGTTTGTGCTGGACCAGTCAGTGGCTAGAGAATGACCAAAATGTGGAGAAACGAAAAGATTGTTGTTTCCCAGTAGCTCAGATTTAGGTTTAAGGGATTTCCAGGGTGGATTACTAGTTGTTGTGTCTTTTTTTTTTTAGCTACTTTTTTTTTTAACTTAGAAGTTCCAACTTTCTACACCAACTGATTTTTTTCAAAATTAGAAGTCATAAAAAGAGAACAATAATTAAAATGTGCCCATCATGCTCAGTAATTGCTCAAGGATCACGATACAAAGCTGCACTGGCAAATGGGTGATGAAATGTTTAGGGATAGAGAGCATCTGAAGTTCTGAATTTTATCATTATCTTGTCAATATCTTGAGTTCCGAGTCACCCCAGATCTGTACCAACCCTGTGACCCAGGGTGGGTAACATTTCTGAGATGAGAACTCTGCCATTTGCAAGCTTCTTAGTGGAGTTCCCTTTGACCTCCAAGATGGTGCCTTCCTGCCTCACCTAATTTGTTGGACTCAGCCTTTTGCTTGAACTGCTCCATGAAATCAGCTAGAATTTCCATTTGGGTAAAAGGAGGATGCTGATGGGATATTTACTAACCATGGTACTGTTGAGAAGATTAAATAAAATAACTGTGTTTAGGATTAGGATTGTGCCTAAACCCATGAAACAGTTAATAAATTTGAAATTACAATTTTAATTTACCTTTGGGTGTAGGCAAGGTTTTCACCCATAATGTCTTGAGAAATAACCAGCTATCTTGCCTTTCCAGGGTTCTGGTGAATTCTATAAGCCCCCTCTCTGATACCTCACTATAACTAACACACACACAAAAATAAAACTAGCAAAAGGTAGAAGTGTTGGTTAACTTTGTGTTTGAAAAGCAAACAGGAATGGAAACACACTTTCTTACTTACAACTGGATTATATACAATCATTTCCTACTGAGAAAGGAATCACAGATGGGCTTAAAACAAAGAATAGAAAATGGCCCTAACCGTGTTTCAGAAAACCAATTTTAGTAACGCAGATTTTAGGTTTGTAAACCAGCATGACTTTCAGCCTCTGGGATAGCTATATAGAATTTCATGCTGTGGGTGTCATAACACCGCGCTCCTGTTACATTCACAATGTACACTTTGTCTGCTATTCTGTGATCTCCAAGTTGGTGCATGGGTTTTTATTATGGAATTGGTAGGCCATCCCAAAGGCAGGCCTGTCAGGGTTTCTATTTCTTAGGTATTGTGACATAAGAGCTGAAATTATTTTGACTTAACACCATTTGTGCATATTGGCTAATTAAGAATTCAATAAAAGAGTTCTAACTAATTTAAAATACTGATCTAGTTTATTTTATCTCTTTATATTTTGATTTATTGCTTTTGTGATTGCATATACGATAAAGGTAGATTTAATTGTATTGTTTTTACATCTGATTTTCCCACTTCTGAGAGAGAAATAGCTAAAGATTAAGTCAAATAGAGCACACTGCATATCTCAGTTATAACCAAAAATCACTCCTTTTTTTAAAAAAAGATATGTAAGAGAAATTCTTTGATACCATAATAAAGGTCTTTCTTGGGAATAGAAACTAGTATTTTAGACACCTTTTGGTTTATTGTTTTTTTCCCTCCCCCAATTATTGAAGTCTCTCCAGGCAGGAAATTAGCATATAGACTGGGGAGACAAGTCTTGACTAAAGTCAGAATTCTTCAGTTAGCACTCTCCTACCCAACACCTGACTCTTAGAATAAATGTAGGTCATTTAACTGTTATGAATTATAATTTCAAGGAGTATAATGAATAAACAGCAAATTTCCTCTTTTAAATGAATGATGGTTTTTAAAAAATGACTGGTCAAAGAGTACTTTATAATTTTGTCAGGAGTAGACCCCGACCTGGAACCAAATCAGACAGGGCGCAGGTCAAAGCGCACGCTCTCTCTCTCTTTCTCGGATTTATTTGTGGGGATGAAAGAGGATATTGCACTATATATCTAAGAATTGGAGACTTACCTTTGAGTGAACAAGGCTGTTAATGAGCATTCAACTTCTGTATCTAGTTTGAACCCTAATCAGAACATTGATAATGAAGAAGACTTTTATATTGCTATGGGACTATTTCTTTTAATCCAAAAAACACTTTGAAAAACAATGAATACAAATCGGACACAACTAACAACCTAAATGTAACTGGGAACACTATACTTTTTGTTTCTTGGGGGATAGTTTCCTTTAGCTGGTCCTAGTTAATGAGGTAGACCAAATCCTGCTTGACTTTGTTCTTTGAAGATGTGTGTGCTTATATGAACACTAGAGGCCCAGTGCATGAATTTGTGCATGGGTGGGGTCCCTCTCGGCCTGGCCAGTGATCTGGGCTGATAGGGGGGTGGGTGGTGGTGGTGGTGGCTGGCCAGGGGGAGGGACCACGGGAGGTTAGCTAAGGGAGTGCACTGACCACCAGTGGGCAGCTCCTGCTTTGAGCATCTGCTCCCTGGTGGTCATGTTGACTGGTCATTCGGTCGCTTAGGCTTATATATATATAGATAGATAGATAGATATACATGAATAATGGCGTTTGAAAGAAGTTTAGAGTTTGAGATTATTTTCTTGAAATTTTTGAACTGTTAAAATGTACCCTTTCTCTGGAAAACATTTTAAAACTACCAAGTCTTTTACTGGCTATGCTATGGTGTGAAGTGGCTGCTAATGCTATTTTGTACACATGTCCAGTATTGGGTGTTTGAGTTGGCCATGGGGGACAGATAAGGAACAAATACTGCTCCACATCTTTATCACTGGCAGGCTTAGTCTTTAATCACTGAATCTTTGACACCAGCTTATTTCCTCAACTTGCTGTGACTAGACACTCAATAACTGAGCTCTTTTTATTATATTTTTACCATTCACTGTTTTATTTATAATTTTAGCAAAATCCATGTAAAAACTCCACCATGCCGATCATTTGAAAGTGTACTGTTCTGTAGTGTTCTGGACTCTTTGTAAAGTGAAGCCTTTTAGTTTTCATACTTGAAAAGCTTCTTTGTCCGTTCTGGCTGCTGTAACAAATCACCATATACCGAGTGGCTTTTGAGCGATAGGAATTTATTCCTCACAGTTCTGGAGGCTGGGAAGTCCCAAGATCAAGGTGTGGGCAGGCTCTGCTTCCTAATTGTAGATGGCTGGCTCCTCCACGTGTCCTCACATGGGGATGTGGGGACCTGGGGATGGGCATGGAGCCCTGGGGGTGTCTTCTGGGCCAGCACTCCTCCCCTTCATGAGGGCCCCGCCCCCATGGCCTAGTCACCTACCAAAGGCCCCAGCTCCGAATGCCATCACATTGAGGGTTAGGGCTTCAACCTCTGAAGGGGAAGGGGGGCAGGTGGGGGCACAGATATTCAGTCTAGAGCCACAAGTAACCCCGTTCTCTTCTGTTTTGTGTTGTGTTCCAGAACTCCAAGATGGGAGGCAAGCTGAGCAAGAAGAAGAAGGGGTACAATGTGAATGATGAGAAGGCCAAGGACAAAGACAAGAAGGCCGAAGGAGCGGGGACGGAAGAGGAGGGGACCCCGAAGGAGAATGAGACCCAGGCGGCTGCGGAGACCGCCGCGGTGAAGGAGGGCAAGGAGGAGAAGGCGGAGAAGGATGCCCAGGATGCTGCCAGCAAGCCCGAAGACAAGGAAGCCGAGAAAGGCACAGACGCGGCCAAGGCGGACGCCCCGAAGGCAGAGCCTGAGCAGACGGAGGGGGCGGCCGAGGGGAAGCCCGA